TCGCCTCAACCTCCCAAAGTGCTGGGATTACAGATGTGAGCCACTGCGCTCAGCCTGTTTTTCCCTCTTATAAGTGGTTCTTTCACTTCTGCCTTTGCCATTAAAAAAAATATGCCTTGGATGACTAGTGAAAACACAGAGAAAACCTGAATCCAACTCATGGACTGGAGTGAAGTCCAGTTGAGCCCCACCTAAACTGAGCTGTACTCCAGTCAATCCACGCACATGTGAACAGGCAATAAATGCTCACTGTTGTAAGCCACATAAGGCTTATAACATGAGTGCCTCTTCTTGTAGCCTTGCTGTGGAAATAGCTGATGAATAGAGGTGCCACAAGACAGCTTGGATTCTGATAACCAACCCTCTCATTTAAGCTATCCTGGCTATTTTTTTAAACTTGCATTCAGAGGGCCACAATTAATATGATCATTATACTGCTTTGATCAATTTACTTGCTTTTAAAATCAAAGTAGCACAGCCAACTAAAGAGAAAAATCAGTTTCTATCATGTTTTGCATCTTACCATTTTCTTGTCTGAAGAGAATCCAACTGCTACCCAACCATCTGTGTCTGCACTCAGCTCAAATTCTACATCAGCCCCTATCATCCGGTAGCTGAGGAAGTAGTCACAGGTCTCTGCATTACAGCCTGGTTTGCCATATCTAGAAGATATATCGAAAGAGACATTACTGCTTCTACTTACTCAAAATACATTAAGAGAGCATCTACCATATTATCAGGTGGGATGCTAAGCAATATTATTAAACACATTGGATTTTTGCTACCTGGGATCTTAAAAACACAGTTTCACTCTCTTAGGAGGAGCTTTGGAGATGATCTGCCCCATTTTATACACAAGAACTACAGTTCTGAGATGCAAAGGGGCTTGCCCATGGTTGTATAGTGAAGTCAGTGGTTGCAACAGGACTTGAACCTGGGTCTCCAAAATCCCAGCCAGAGTTCTTTACATTATATTAATATCACGGTCTTTTAAATATTAGTTACTACTGAATTATTTCTGAATCCCTTTTAATGGAAAAAGATTCTCCAAGTTAACCAGTTATATAGTTTCTGCTAATTAAATGTATACCAACTTTTTTTAACTTACAAATTTTCACATAATCAAACTAACACAAATTTACAAATTCAATATAAATTAAACTAATAAACCAGGAACACTGAAATTCACAACACGTATGCAACAGATAATGGGGCTTTACTGAAAGTAAATTTCTGCTTATGTGCATGTGGCATCTGACTAGATCGTGCAGCATCTTTGAAGTTGAGAGCATGTTCTTACTACTCTCTGTAGCATGATGGCTCAACTCTTCACTTTTATCTGTTTGAACTGCTGCAAAACCCTCATTTATGAATACCCCCATCTGGTACTCATGGACCATGAATGAAGGCATTATCTGTTTATAAAATTTTCTTGCTTTTTTTTTTTTTTTTTTTTACACAGAGTCTTGCTCTGCCACCCAGGCTGGAGTGCAGTGGCAGAATCTCAGCTCACTGCAACCTCCACCTCCTGGGTTTAAGTGATTCTCCTACCTCAGCCTCCCAAGTAGTGGGGACTACAGGCTCCCGTACCACACCCGGCTAAGTTTTGTATTTTTAGTAGAGACAGGGTTTCACCAGGTTGGCCAGGCTGATCTTGAACTCCTGACCTCAGGACATCCACCTGCCTCGGCCTCCCAAAGTGCTGGGATTACAGGCGTGAGCCACTGGGCTCGGCCTTATTTACAAAATTTGCCTTTGTTCTGTTGGGCTACTTGCTGCTAACACGATTACAAATTCAGACACTAAAACGTACAACAATGTAAGGTGGTTATCCAGATAGTGAGATTACGCAGACATTCATGGTTTTTAGAGAGCACCACTGAAATGAAAACACAAATTTAAATTTTCTTACAGAGGACTTGTGGATCCTTTCAGAACTGGCAAGCCCTAGTTTGAGGAACGCTGTATTATACCATTTGCAAAATGCTAGAAAGTTTAAGCAATGGGTGGGACAATCTATGCGCAGATGGGAGGTATCTGAAGGAACAGAGCACATGGGTGCTAAGTGTTGAGGAGGGGACAGGAATGTGCAACTATCCTGGCAGAGATACCCGAGCAGTCAGGAAGAGATGTAGAATCAAGGCAACAGGGCACTGGGGTAAAACAGATGAAAAAGAGCAAGGGAAGATAAAAAAGGAGTGAATGGACAAGAAAACAAGTCACTTTGAAGCTGGTAGAGTACTAAAATTTCCTCCCTTCTCAAAACATCCCCCAATCACCAGATGTAAACATTGTTGACCATCTTCCTCAGTAAGAATATTATTGTATATTTTTATTTATTCCTTAGAAACGGCCTTGTAATCCAAAGAAAGCTCAAAGCCCTTGTATTCAATTTTTCCTCCTTAGACCTTTAGTACTGAACAACAGCAAAATCAGGACCTTTGGGTTAGTGACCATCAAAACTTTGCCCATAACCATCAAATTGCCCTTGACCATCAAGTTACTCAGGACAATTTGTTTTAGCAAGTAAAGGGTTCAAAGGAAGAGACTTTTCCAAAGAAGCAGAGCGGTCTAGAGGGGAGGCCCATTGTACACACGACTGTTTTCTAGCCCAGACTGTCATGTAGTGATACTACTAATGATGTAGAGACTCACCATGCCTGATAAGAAGCTAGCAACAATGAATGCTTAATGACTAGCTAGAATCATACAGATATCCATAGGTCATGGCTACTTACTAGAAAAGGAATTGTGTATTACACATGTCTATCATTGCCTGTCCTGCCCACAGCCCCTGCTGCATAAGCACAGACACGTTCTGTGTCACGTGAGTCTTCTGCATATCACCAATTGGTGAGTAGGAGACACCTGGACCAATGGTGGTATAGCTAGAAAGAACCATGGAAGAATGGTCCGGCGCCCAGGATATGCTAAAGTTAAAAGGCCTTTAAGACTGAAAAGTGGGATGGCCATTAGAAAACTTCATAATCCTGCTGAGGTGACGAAGAAGCCCAGGCCCCTTGAGTAGAAGGAACGGCATGCAATTTAAATACTACCCTGAGAAGTAAACCAGTCTTAGCCTTAAAGTTACCCAACCTGCAGTTCCACCAACCTAAAGCATCCCTTAGTTTTTCCACAGTCGTCCACTTTGATTTTGGCAAATGGATCCACAGGAGGAGCAGTAGGGAAGGGGTAACCTGGGCAGTGAGAATAAAGAAGGGTTAGAAAATCCAGTAACAACTGTTCCAATGAGAACTTTTAAAATTGTGTTGACTATTTTTTTCTCATGCATATCAAGAAATGTCTGGGGACTCAGAAAAGGGCTTTGATTAAGGCTAATCATCCCCTTCATGGGGGAGGGTGTAGGCCACACACCTTCGGACCTAACCTTGCATGTGAACTCAGAGTAGGTGTGCCCTTTTCTCACTTTACAGGCAAGCAACCTGGGGCACTGAGAAAGGCTACAATTTCATATAACCACGGGCTTACCACTGTCCCCAGGAGTTTGAGAATCACACTTTTAATACAATATACATGCTCTAAGAGAAAGAAGTTAACAGTGATACATTTTTATACCTGATTGTAGGGTTTTTCCATTTGTGTACTTGATCATAGGATTTTTCCATTCCATTTTAACTTCCATTTTGCATTAAGCTGTAGATAACATTTTCTTATGTCACTAAATTCTTTGTTTTTGGTTATTGTTGTTGTTGAGACAGTCTCACTCTGTCACCCAGGTTGAAGCGCGGTTGTGTGGATGAGTTTTTTTGTTTTTCTCTGAATAGGTACTGAGCCACTACGAACTACTGTATGTTAAGCATCTTCATATACCTTCTTCTCTTACTTCTCACTACAACCCTCAAACCATTTTTCTCAGAATATTTATCCAGGAATTCAATGATTGTTCACTTACATGATTTGGAAATTCTATAGTTCACTGACAATCTCTTTTAATGTTGCTTCTTCCATTTTCAGACATATCATCCTCACTACTTCCTGGCATCTAGAATAATACGTTAGCATACAGCAGATTCTCAGCCCAGTAAATCCCAGTTATTATTACTACTGGATTATTAACACTATTAAATTTTGTAAACTGGCCTGAGAAATAATAACTACGGGGTACGACTGTCTCTTTAAGAACAACAGGGCCGGGCGCGGTGGCTCACACTTGTAATCCCAGCACTTTGGGGAGCCGAGGCGGGTGGATCATGAGGTCAAGAGATCAAGACCATCCTGGTCAACATGGTGAAACCCTGTCTCTACTAAAAAAAAAAAAAAAAAATACAAAAAATTAGCTGGGCATGGTGGTGCATGTCTGTAATCCCAGCTACTCAGGAGGCTGAGGCAGAAGAATTGCCTGAACCCAGAAGGCGGAGGTTGCAGTGAGCCGAGATCGCGCCATTGCACTCCAGCCTGTGTAACAAGAGTGAAACTCCGTCTCAAAAAAAAAAAAAAAGAACGACAGGTTTCTAAACTCCAGACAAAAGCAAATTTTAGAACAAAGCTCACTTACATTCTGAACCAGTTTATTCATGTTGGCAAATGGCTTCTCAGGGCTTTTCTAGCACTAATTTTCTATTATGTATGCTTCTAAAACTTGTAATGGGAACTTGTGTTCTGTCAAATGTACTTGGTCATGCCTTTAATAACATATTTTCCTTTCATATTGCAAACTGTTGAAAAATAGATAATTTGGCCTTTGTCCCTGGTTCCTAGGAGAGAAATTCTAAATCCTTGGAATTTCTTGAGTGTTTTGTTCTTCATGAGCCCCTTGGATCACATCCGAGTTTATGCTGAATGATCAGATGACTCAGAATAGAGGCTGGTCACTGGAAAGACCGTGTGATTAGAAGGTTGGGGCTTTGTGCTAGGTTAGGGGGGTGGAGATTGAGTTTAATCATGTGCCCAATGATTAAATCAATCATGCTAACATAATGAGACCCCAGTAAAAACTCTGGACACTGAAACACACTGCAGCTCCCTGGTTGAACACATTGATGTGCTGGGAGGGCAATGTGCTGATTCCACGAGGAGAAGGCATGGAAACTCTGCCTTTGGGAGCCTCTCAGACCTCCTATATGTTTTCTGACTGACTGTTCCTGAATTGTATCCTTTATAAGAAAACTGTCATAGTAAAAGTAGCACATTCCTGAGTTCTGTGAAACATTCTAGCAAATAATAGAATCTGACATGGGAAGCTTCTTCTTGTGGGAAGACCCTGCACTTATAGCCATTTGGTCTAAGGTGTGGACAGTCTTATTGTGAACTGTGCCCTTTCACTTGTGGGAACTGCACTAATTCTGGGTCATTAGTGTAGGAACTGAATTGCAGTACACCAGTGGGGAGTTGATATTGGAATATAAGCGGAGCAGAATTAGATTTTTTTCCTGAAATTAAATGATCTCTATTTGGCATGAAATGAGTTTAGACCACATGCCAATATTTAAGCTCTTGTCTCTCAGCTACAACCCAGGCTTCTATAGGCTGAGTACTCTGCAAACCGCTTCTCCTTTGCCAGGTGCTTAGACTCTGCCAATAGCAAGCATTAGAGGGAGGCAGGAGGAGGGAAAGAAGACTGTTCCTTCCTGTGTGATTGCTGTTCCAGTAAGCAAGTTCTCAGCAACTCTACTTCATCCTGGCAGTTGGTCTGAGTTCCCAGCTTTGTTCTAGGCTCCCGGAATCAGCCTTATCCCATGCTGCTCCAAGGTATTGGCAGCAGCTGAGCACAGCCTCATTCTCAAAGGATGGGTCACAGCTCTGAGAGGCCCTGGTCTGAGCCCTTTTGATAATCCCAAGCCCTTCTCTTTGCAACTTCAGCCCCACGGGTGGTAACTTTTCTGAAGGCATTTTCTGTATGTTATCTTGGTGTTCCCTTTTTGCTTCTCCAGTCCCTCAACTTCTTACTTAGACAAATCCCTGGGCTGGTCTTTTGTTTAAACAGCTAGTAGGATTTCTGTCTTTCTGGACTTTGATTGATACACGCTAAATAGATTAACCTTTGAATACTGATATAATGTGTTTGCCAAAACTGTAGCTTATTAGTACTTATCTGAAGGCTAGAAAACAAAGATATTCCATAGGATCTATGTTTTACACGCATTATACAATTCTAATGGGAAATTATTTTGATTGTAGAATTCTAAGCAGCCTAGGTACACATAATTAAATTGGTATTTCTTGATTTATGGAACACTCATTATCAGTCTATGCAAAGTCCATCTTAGATTTTTTCCCCCAATCTATCACGAAACCCATTTTCTTCCCCACCTTAGACACCCGGTCTAGTGTATTTTATGCATATCCTTCTGCCAAGGATGGAAGTTTCAACAAAAAGTGAACACTTAGAAAAGCAGTATTTTACTATGTTAAACTGAAAGGACACATTAGCAATAATGGATACCAGACAATTTGGTGTTAGGGCTAAGGTTCTCATCTCAGTCCATTCCATGTAGCATGGAATTCTGCCTGGCCAGGGTAAAGTCCTGCCAGCTTGCAAAAACTGTTTCATATTTCCAAGATCATTGTCCTGAAATTCTTGCATGATTACCTTACAAGATAACTACCAAACTGCCTTCAGCAGATCCTGGATGTAAGGTTTGGGTTCCAGGCACAATTTCTCACTCTGCCAACAGCACCCCTTGCCATGCTGCCCACAGCTGCACTGCATTAGCCTGTTTATGGCCATGCACAAAGTCTGGAAATGCGCAAACAGAGCAGACCAGTGAGGGCCCACTGCAACTTACCGTTCATTTCTATGTTTATTTTTACATAGGTGTGCTCTTAATATATCACTTGCATATGTTTTAATTTGCATAAATGACTCCATGCAGTAAATATCATTCTGTTTATTATTTACCTCTAGAAATCTATCCACATATGTAAGACTGAATATTATTCAGCCATAAAAAATGAAGTACTGATATATGGTACAACATGGATGTACCTTGATTATATAATCCCATTTACATGAAATGCCCAGGATAAGGCTAGGCATGGTGGCTCACGTCTGTAATCCCAGCACTTAGGAGGCTGAGGTGGGCAGATTACTTGAGGTCAGGAGTTCGAGACCAGCCTGGCCAACATGGTGAAACCCCATCTCTACTTAAAAATACAAAACAAAACAAAACAAAACAAAAAAGCCGGGTGTGGTGGCACACACCTATAGTCCTAGCTACTCAGGAGGCTGAGGCAGGAGAATTGCTTGAACCTGGTGGGTAGAGGTTACAGTGAGCCAAGATTGTGCTATTGTACTCCCTGGGCGACAGAGCAAGACTCCATCTCAAAAAAAAAAAAAAAAAAAAAAAGTCCAAGATAGAAAAATATTGAAACAGAAAGATTAGTGGATGCCTCAAGCTGGGTGGGGAGGAGGGAGATGAGGGACTGCAGAGTGATAGCTAAAGGGTACAAGGTTTCTTTTGGGGATGACACAAATGTTCTAACATTGATTGTGGTGATGCATGTACAACTCTGTGAATATACTAAAACCCACTGCATTGTACATTTTAAATGGGTGAATTATGTGGTATGTGAATTATATCTCAATAAAATTATTGCAGGAAAAAAAAAAGAAAAAAAACTAATGGATGTGTTGCATCCCATTCCCTCCCTTTACATAACCCAGTTCTGACTCATGTCATTTACTTGATTGATGGAATCAAAATCGTATCCTGAACTCAGGATTCCAGGTACTACTCCAGCGTCTGCATCAAGGGCCAGCACAACAGAGGGTGTGGGACAGATGCTGAAGGAGTTCATCACTGTATTCATCAGATTTCTCCTTTTCAATTTCATACTTAATTTGTATATTCACCCTTTCCCTTGATTAGTCAGGCCAGAAATTTGTGTATCTTATGAGAGTTTCCAAAACAGTCCACATTCAGCAGTTTGGGTCATCACCCTCATTTTCATATGTTTTCCATTTCATTTATTCCCACCCAGATCTGTTATTTCCTTCCTTTTTGTTTCCATTTTGAATTGAATGCTTAGCTTTTTTTTTTTTTTTTTTTTTTAAGACACAGGGTCTTGTTCTGTTACCCAGGCTGGAGTGCAATGGCACAATGACAGCTCACTGCAACTTCCACCTCCCAGGCTCAGGTGATCCTCCTACCTCACCCTTCTGAGTAGCTGGGACTACAGGCATGAGCCACTACACCCAGCTAATTTTTTTTATTTTTTGTAGAGACAGGGTTTTGCC